AGGACGCAAAAGAAACGTACAAGAGGCTTAAAACAAAACAAACATAAACTTTGGAGAGGCAGCTAGAACACTAAGGCAAGGGCCTACTCAAGCCGAGTGCCCACGCAAAATAAAGTAAATTAGGATGGAGGTTTAGGGAGCCCATCCGAGATCAGGGGCACGGTTTTTATTATTATTATTATTATTTTGGTGGTTAAAATCTGATCTCATTAAATAATGCAGAAAGCAAACGAAACATACAATAGCTAAGAGCACTTCCAACCCAAAGGGCAACGGTAAGGCAAGGTCTATCACTATTTATGTGAATAGTGGCAGCCTTTGCATATTTTGTTTCCACCTTTATAGGCAAGGGCAATTACTATTCATTTTAATTTATTTTCTATTTTTTTTACTTAAACAATTAATTTTGATAAGATTTTCAGTTGCCACGTGTTACTATTTATTATAAAATTCTCATCTAAAATTTTAGATAACATTTTCGAATAAGATTTTCGAATTAAATTTTAGGATTAAATTTTAGGATAAGATTTTCAATTGCCACGTGTCCAATTTATTATAACATTCAGATCTCAAATTTCAAATAAGATTCTCAATTGCCACGTGTCGATATTTATTATAAAATTCTTATCTGTGTGGGGAGAGAGAGAGAGAGAGAGAGAGAGAGAGAGAGAGAGAGAGAGAGCGAGCTAGAGTGTGTAGCCATGTATTTATAGGCTACTTGTATTCTAGGATTTTAAGAATAATCCTTATTAAATTAGGATTATTCTTACCCAAAAATAGGAGATTAGAATTAATCAAGAAGATTTGGTGGAAATCTCATCCTTTATTTAGGGAGATATTCTCATCTTAAATCAATTATAATTTCCATTTAATTATGGTAATTAGTTGACCTAAGGAATATTCCTTTTTCACGTGTCGCACATCTATTGGTTATTGAAATATGTGTTCCCACAAATGTCCCATAACTTCTAACATGGCACTTGTGAGGCATGGTGGAAATGAGAAATATTTATCGGGCTTTCTAACTGCATCTGGGCTTTTTTTTTTAGTTAGGTTCCTTTTGCAAGTTGGCTTTTGACTTCTTCTTGGAGTTGGGCTCCCAATTTGAACAGGCTTGTGATTCCTCCTTGACCTAGGATGCCCAACCTTTATAAATACAAGACTTCTCTTCACTCATCTTCAATTGCAAACTTGTCATCCTCTACTTTCTAGCTTGTGAGAGATCTTGAAGAAGTGTACTTGCTCGTCGTGCACACCAAGGTAGGTCATGCTTGGGTTTTTATTTTTCTTCAATTTTTTATTGCGACGAAGACCAGCTGGCGTGGCTGCTAGCTGGGTGTCGTCGTGATCTTGTGGCAGCGCCTGATCCAACCGGTGGAAGCGACGGCGCCGGTCGCTAGCAGCCAAAAGTAGCTTATGCTGAGAGCTTTTAGACGAGTGACCTGCCCCTAGCGTGATTTACATATTCGCCATCGTGGGTTTTGCAGAGCACTTCGAGAGTTTTCGGGTACTTGATGTAGGTGAGATGAGCACCGAAATATGATATTTGAACAAGCTTGTTGTCCTTCATGTAGTATCTTGCAATTTTTTGCTTGATTTTTCTAGCCTCAGACTTTTCCCTTGGTAAATTTTCGTTCACCAAGTATTTGATGATAGGGTCTTACCTGCTAGGATTCTCATCGATTTACATCAAGTCCGACTATTTTGTTTTTTCGATGCTCGGCTTATCAAGGTGCTCCCATTTATTTGTATTACTGTCTTGAAGCCCTCCTTGATGGTGTTTTCATCTTGATCATCGACCGTTTGAATGGAAAGTCTTGTCAGCCATGAACGATTTCAATGTGTCCACCGTCCACGCATGTTACCCCAAAACGATTTCCATGTGTTCATGCCTGGCCAGTTTTGGTGTATTTGATCTGGCTTATGCGGCAGTTGGCATTTAGATCTGTTCACATCCATATTGATAATTGATTCACGTTTAGCAATTCACGCATGCATGCGTGATGCATGGACAGCTCCCAGTTTGTCATAATTCAATCAGCGGTAGTGGCGGATCTAGGAATTTTTCAGGGAAGGTGCAAAATCCTAATGTCACTCATAATTAAAACAAATAAGAATTTTATGTCTACAACTAATGGATTATAGTCTATATGGATATCAATTAATATGAACAAAATCTTTGTTATTGACACAGTTAGTTTACTAAAATTCATATCAAATATGAACAAAATCCATGTCAATTACATAATTAATCTAACAAAAGTCAATACCAATTAATCTAACCAAAAGCACATGTAAATTGGAGGTCATGAAGTAAAAGTACGTGATTAAAAGTTTGGGGTAATTTTTGATAAATTTTTTGGCACACGTATGAGTTTTTAATGAATTTTTTAAGCTAGGCCAATTAGAAATAGACATGTGTTGGCTTGCTATTGGGTCATTTAAAAAAGAATCAAAATCAGAAGCGCTGACAGGGAGTCTTCTTCTTCCTTAAACTGTGCCTCTGCAACTTAACTTCAAATATTCAAGAAAAACTTCGAAAATTCATAACTTTGGTTGTGTAGCTTCGATTGATGAACCGTTTTCTCCTACATGCTCGTGAGATCGAGCCCAACAATATAAGGTAAATATTCAGGGTCTCACACAGCAGCAAACAATACAATGTCTTTGAGGCATTTAGTCGAACAATTGGTGGGCACTAGCAAAGGGGCAAATTCCGGCATCCCCAAGGAAGTTTCAGGCGAGGGGAGGTACAGCTGCACCTCCTTGCGCCTCTGTGGATCCGCCAGTGATCAGCGGGCCATGATATTGATACAATAGAATTGATTTTATTTTAAAAAAAATTATCACCTCTCACACAAAAATTAGATTCACGTGGTAGGACATGTTCATTTGTCAGGAATGGGAGAAGTCATGAATTGGGGAAGATAGGGGAATCAAGGAATTGGAATTGGAATTGGATCAACTACTCCCCTAATTGATAGTCATTTGAGGGTATTTGATTACAGATTTTAACATGAAACTCACATAATTTGGTTATTTCTTATGTGTTAGTAAACACTTGGGAAGTAAGGAATTTGAATCATTCCAACACCCACGTATACTCAGTGGTGGACCCACAGAGGCACAAAGAGGTGCAGATGTGCCTCCCCTGGCCGGAAAATCCAATTGTATAAAATTTTAATTTTTCGTTAAAAAGTTGTACATGTGTCAAATTTTGAGAGAGAATATCACCAGCTAACGTGGTGATACGATACCATTCTATAATTTCTCCGAGAAACAAACAAAAAGGACTTTCTTATTTCCCTTTAGGACCAATTTTGTTCTTGAAGATGATAAATGTGACCTAATTTCTCAATCAACAATTTAGCCCCTCAATCAAAGTCATAAAAAGTAGGTGTCCTCCTCCCCCTTCCAGTCCATTGTGGTGGTGACCAGTGAGTGGTACAGAAAATGGAAGGAAAAGTGCTTTCTTTTGAACCCAAAAATCTCAAGAATGTTAATATATTTTTAAGGCAACCATTATTTTCTATTGAAGAAAATATTTATTTAATTTTCCAAGGTACTATTTGAAGACGTGTAATCTTAACTTGCCAGTAAATCTTGTCGTGTAATCATCCGTTGTCGTTTTGATAATTTAGTCTTTCTGCATCAAATGCTTCTTTCGTGTATTCTACGCATTGGAGGCTTTCTATTCACTCATCAAGAGTCAAGACTTGGATACATGTTAGTCCGAATCCAAACAAAAGAGTTGCCGACCAAAACAGATATTTTTTTTCTGTTATTTCAGTGTTTATAATTTCTAACTACATTGCAAGTGCTTTTTATTTTCCTCTAATTATAAGTGGAACATCTAATTACCAAGTTTCAATAACCATACACCAAAAGTCCTTACATTTGGTAAGCTGCCGGCACTTCCATTACTCGTCCAAATCACCCACTTCTATGAGTTGGGTACGAGGCCTACTGTCCACAAAATAGGACCGCAACGCGTTAAGGCCCTGTTTGGTTCATGGGAAAGGAGACTTGGAAATGGGAATTCAATTCCTTTCCCATGTTTGGTGAGTCCGGCATGGGAAATGGATGCCTTGCACATGGGAAAGTAGGGGGGAAAGTGATGCCCTCCTTTTAACTTGGGTTTTGGTTTCCTTCATCATGGGAAAGTTTGGGAAAATGAGCCAACATTCAATGCACAATTTTCATGATTATTTTGTCCCTATGAACAATTTATAATTACAACGTATCATTAAATGCATTCTTTTTTTTATTTGATTTAATATGGATATAATTGGAAAATTATACAAACTTTGTTTTCCATTCCTACTCAAAACAAACATAGGAAAGGAAACAAAGTGAAATCACCCGGTTACTTTCCCAACATTACCAAACGTGGGAAAGGAATCTTTCATTCCCATTCCTTGGGAAATGACATGGGAATTGATTTCCCCTCAAATCCATTCCGTGAACCAAACGGGGCCTAAGGGTTTGTTTATATTCTATTTAAATTCAAGTTTTTAAACTTAAAAACAGAATTTAAGTACAAAGTTATAAAAAAAAGTGTTTGGTGGTAGGCCTAATTATGTAAACCTAAACTCAAAAAAATACTATTCTGTTTGTTTAGAATTATAAGTAGAACATCTAATTACCAAGTTTGAAGACCTATCAGAAGGGTCCGATTTGTCAATTTGGGAAGGGAAGTTCAGAAACACAGGTTTTCACACCCTTACCAATGGCGGAAGCTCCTTGAATTCATGAAAGCATATAAGACATGATAGCCTTTTTGTTTCGGTGAACTTTTTCTCCAAACTGACACATATTATACCATGTTCTAGAATTTCAGATGCCACGCGTGAAGCTGATCTACTACTTTTCAAGGGAATTTTTCAAGAAAGAGTCAATTTCTTTCTAAGATATCTTGACTTCAACCATACTCGATATGAATTCAACGCATTAACCAAGAGAACGTGAATACCTTAGACAAAGGATAATAATTACAAAAAGCCTATATATACGTGCAATGATCCAATGCTAGAAAGCAAAATTAACTTTCATAGAAGATGGATTTAACTTCCATGAAATACAATCACAGAGTCATATGTTGTTCCAATTAAACTACAAGCAGAAGTTCAAGAAAAATAATAATCACACATTTAATTGTATTCTGCATTTAGCTTTAAATATTAAGATCTATACATTATATATTGAACTGTTTAGCTTCACAATTATTTCAGGTGCACACCAAATTCTTGTGCGACCATCGGGAAGCTTTGCAGCTGCAGTTGCAGGTTTTTCGAAGCTGTAAACTTTTATTATCACCAATACTAGTATTGAGATGATCCTATGGGTTTTGGCCACTTCGTCGTCTTTCAGGTGGCCCAATCACCAAGTCAGTCTCCACATCCTCCATATCTGGTGTCCGGGGCTGGCGTACCGCAAGATTCTCTCCATCTTTTCTTTTGCTTGGAGGACCAAGTGGTTGCATGCCACACTGGATCAACCAGTCATACAATTAGTAAGTAAATCAATTGGCTTATTTTGGTAATTTATGATCAGTTTATGCATCGAGAAAGGTTCTCTCTTAGACTTTCTGGTACTTATGTTGTCAAATTGTGAATCTGATCAATTTCAATCTGGATTATTGATCACGTTAATTCTTACTTCAGTGCATGTATGATTCAGATTCACAGCTCAACAACAAAAGTTTGACAAGAGATCATTACTTGTCATAATATATATATATTCCATTTAATCACTTATGCTGTATTGGAGATCATCATGAACCCAGATTGAATGTGTCAAAGAATTGCATAGGGTGTGTATACCATGCTGAAGTCAAAGTTGTTTATAGAAAGAAGATTTGATTACCTTTTCCCGTAGCTTAGCATTTTGTTCAAATAGGTTTTTCTCCTGATCAAGTCAAAATTAAGAAAATGACATTAATCTATATCAACACTTTCTGATAAAACGAGTACTTATAAGTTATAATACAGCACTTCTATTTAATTACCTCTTCCTTCAGCTTCTCTATCTGCTCCCTCAATAACTGAGTCTGATAATAGGCAAAACAAAGTGCATTAGTTTATGGTCATGAATCAAACTACCTACTACACACACAAATGTAACATTTTAGGACCATAAGCATGTTTTGCTATCAGATTGTAAATTTGGACCACTACTTAAGTTCATTTTTGCCGCAATATATACAATCATAATTCACGACGGTCCATTGTCTTACACTATAACATTCACATCCATATATTATAACAATTTAGTTTCTCAACTTAACAGTTAAAATTTTTGGATTTGATTTGTCAATGTGATACCAATGTCATAACCACCACATGTCGATTAAAAGAGTGAGATATTTGTTAACAAACCACCCAAAGGAGGAGAAAAACTTAGTTGCTGCTATTCCCAGTATCACGCGTGTCATAGCATTATTGACCAATGATAGCAAAAGTGTTATTCCCGTTTCATATAAGTCGTTCTCCCAAAGGAGGCCAGCTAAGGCCCACAGTAGAGATCCACATGAAGTAATATTCACACTATTAATGCTATCTTTGCTGAAAGTTGTATGCAATATATAAAGAAAACCAATTATGTGCAGACCAAAAGAATGAAAGAGAATGCATGGGCCTTAATATGATAAAAAAAAATGTACCTTTCTAGCCCTAATTTTGCTTAAGCCTCGCTCCAATTGGTTCTCTGTCTGATGCAGTTCCTCTATCGAACATGATTCCAAACAATTACCTAAGAGCTTCCTACACCATATGCATTAAATTATATGGATATTTTACATACTAATATTTAAACCTCAGACCAAAACGAAACTCTGATTGCAATATACAAAACTAGAATATGCTTCTTTCGCCAATATATGTATATACATATATATAATTAGAATAAACTTAAGAATGCAAATTTCAAGTTGAGCATCGAATTAACTGTTTAGAAGCTTCAATAAAATCAATCTTCTTCGCCATGCTACAAGTGTCATCCTTCCCACGCTGCATGCAAATCCAATAATTACCAAAAACTGAGTAACAAGATTATTGTGTATTTCTTTAAAAAAGAATGCTTTTGATAAGAGAATATATTCCAAACATATATATATATATAAGGAAATATTATTCTTCCAATGTGTTAGTTGAACTGCAAGAATGACTCATTGAAGCAAAATTCAGATTCACAGTCTTACAATATAAGCATATATATTTAACTGCGAATATCCGCACTTGTATGTATTCATTCGGAAACAATTTGTAGATTTATGTTTATGTCAAAATATTATATACGTAAATTTGTATATCATAGACATGTAAATTTCATTAATTATTGTCTTCCATTGATTGTATGGCGAGGCAATGTAGGTCATAGCGCCACACACTCACATATATTTAATATTCTCTCAGAAGATTCATCGCTTCCTCTAAAAAATAAAAAATCTTAGCAGAGAAACTTATATTGTTGAACTGTGAATTAAAAGTATGCACGTTTAGTCGAGTAATAGATAAGTAACTTCTAGAGTATCTTTAATGGGTTTCCTAAAAAGCTTCTAAGTTGAAATTTGGAGAGAAGTTAAAAAAGACTCACCTTTAACCTTTTCCCCTATCCAACTCCTACCTTCTTTAGGAGCTCCTAAATCTAAGGAGAGAGAAAGTAGCAGCTCCATATCATTAATAATTGAGATTTTCTATTTAAATCCCACACTTTTCTTTGTTCACCCCAATACTTAAATCATTAAGCTGTAAGTTTTATTATTATGTAAAAAGACAAAAAAGGTCATCCAACTTAATAATTAACCCTAGTACATCTATACACAAACCCCACACCCCACACACACACACCCCACCACTCTTCATATCAAGTTTTAGAAAAATACAAACTCCTCTACATCCTATTGCCAGATTAGTCATCTTTTAAAGACATAGAAAATTGACGAGCCTACCACTTTAAATATGCGTGGGAATTGATGGAAAGGCATGTTGATTATCAACTCAACAATACCCAAGTGTTGGAATTCCAATTACAGTTCTTGGAGAGAGGTAAAGTTATTCTCTTTCTCTAGAAAGTACTAAATTTCGGGTTTAGGGTTCTATTTGTTTGTGTTTTTTTTGCTGGGAACAAAGAAAATTGTGGGGTTTAAATAGAAAATCTCTTTTATTTCTTATTTTTTCAATTTGGGGTGTATTTAAGGGTAGTTTGGGAAGATAGTGGGGTTTTCTTAGAAATTGTGAAAATTTAAATTAAAAGATGGAGTGAACTTAGAATATAAGGTGAACTAAGAGAAGTGTGGGGTTTAAATAGAAAATCTCTTAATAATTTTCATTCAAAATAATATTTTAAACTAATATTTTTATTCCTAGTGACTCCTGTTTGAAGCCTAATGCAATTCAATTTTAGTTTAATATATATCGTTCTCTTTCAACAACAAAAACATAGACACAAAGAGCATGGTTGGAGTCGAAACTTTATACAGAGCTCCTAAAGTAACTGTCTAGTCTTTTTAGATAAAATTTAACTTGAAAATAAGGAGCATGATTGAAGATGCTCTCAACCATCCGATAATTTATCCAAATATAATTATCCGATCGACGAAATAAGCAACCATTCCCACCGGTTCAATATCCTCTTTGTTTTAGATTCCATTGTGTGACCAATTGATTGTATGGGATGATACTGGAATGATACCTTCAACTTATACTTGTAAATTTTCTGAAAGGTTTGATAAAAGCAATGTGAAAATGATGGCAGCTGGCTTACCTCCATATCAACTTGAACTGCTTTACTGCCGAGGCCTTGATCCTTCACTCTCCTTTGATAACGGTCTAATGTGTTGCTGATACTGAAGCTTCTCCAACCACAACAATACATAAGAAATACCTCTAAAACTGAAGATTTGACAAGCACCACACACGCAGTGAAAATATCGAATGCATGCATGAAGCAATAAAAAAAACCATTTATGAATTATACATGAATAAAGTTTTTAGCTTTTTCCCATAAGATCATCGTCTGATATAAAGCATCAGAGGTGAAGAGGAAGCCTCCAGATCCCTGACAAGTGTCACCACCTAAAAGGAGATGGACTTTATAGTTATTATAGTTGCTGTCTGAGTTGTGACAACCCGTTTGCGTTTAGTGATCAAGCTAGTTGTGCGAAAGAAAGTTTTAGCTCAGGGTGAACGATTGTTCTACACCAAGCGCGAGCTTACATTTTACATTTTATCATTCGAATCTTGATCGATCTTTCTTCTTCTTTATCTTTTTGTTGTGAAATTTTGATCACTTTGGAATAACGATCTTAATTTTATTGACCAAATAGTATCTTGTACTCATTTTAATATGAAGATATTGTGAAAATGAAACAAAAGAATTATGATTATTTTTCTCTTCTTCGGGGTCGAAAAAGAAATATGATGAAGCAAACACAATAAATTATATACTTAGCGGTCCCTCTATTAAGCTTATTTGATTGAGCATCCATCCCCTTAATTATGAGAATTAAAGAAACAATTTGGTCACAAATCAATCAAATCCTACACTTATAACAAGATTGTTAAGCTTACTTTATTTGATTGAGCATCCATCTCCTTAATTATGAGAATTAAAGAAACAATTTGGTCACAAATCAATCAAATCCTACACTTATAACAAGATTGTTAAGCTTACTTTATCAAATAGCTATATATAGTGGAGATCTAGGCCCATATATTTAAGTACCTAATAAATACATATAAAAATGGAGAGGCCAGAAACTAAAGCTAATTTAAACTGACTTTCTTCTTTTTCTTTTTCCTTTTTTCATGAAAGGAAATTAAGGTTGGATACAACCTCTTCCTCAAAAGGCACTCAGATACAGTGGGAAAAAAAAATGATTCCATAAGCATATATAGAAATAAAGAGTCATATATAACCTTAATTTACATAAGCATATATATGACTTAGAGGTAATCAAATTATATAAATAAAAAATAAAAAATAAAAAATAAAAAATAAAAACGATAGAATTTTATTAGATCAATACAAATAAAGAGTCATATATAACCTTAATTTACATAAGCATATATATGACTTAGAGGTAATCAAATTGATATAAATAAAAAATAAAAAATAAAAAATAAAAACGATAGAATTTTATTAGATCAATACAAATAAAGAGTCATATAATTGGCAGGCCAACTTACTATAGTGGACTTAAAAAACGCTTGGAGCAGGTAGTTCAGGCTCTGCTATCTGAACCTTTAGATCATACGGTAAAGAAAGAAATCTAGCTTATATAGTTCCTGCTCAATAAACCTAACCAAAATGGTTGTTAGAAGTCTCTTTCTGATCTCTCTATCTGATCTCTCTCTCTCTCTCTCTCTCTAGAAAAAAACCCAATTAAAACCCAGAAGCTTTCAACCAAAACACAATCCAACGAAACAAAATCCACACAAAAAGATTTGATTCAGAAACCTACTATATATAGATACCCCATAGACATGTATAAAGCCTGAGAAACTGTTGGTACTTGGCCTATATCTATTGACTGCTGTATGTACTATGCTAATAGTGAGAGCAGCTTGTATTAAATCATTAAAGACTTGAGCTCAAATTTAATTAAATGAAGAAGAAAACCATCTGAAAATGAATCTAAAATTATATATAATTGTTTTTTGTTTTCTTTTCATTTTCTGAAACGTACCTTGAGCTCGCAAACTCATAGAGCTTCCCTCTTGTAGAGAAAATAATAAGTGCAACTTCAGCATCACATAGAACTGAGAGCTCAAAGGCTTTCTTCAGCAGTCCATTCCTTCTCTTGGAGAAGGTCACTTGTCTGCTCGCCGCATTCTCTATGCGCTTCATCTGAGTCTTCCCCCTAACCATATTCACAGCTTCCAAACAAAGAAAAACCCCAGAAAATCAAATGGTTTCCAAAACCCAGAAAGAAAGAAAAAAGGAAGAAGAAAGGTTTCCAAAAATAGAAAGGGGGCAGACCAAAATCCAAGATAGATATATGTGAAATGGAGAAATCCCAGAATCCCCTGGGGGAAAATTTGAGGAGAGAGATGAAGAAGGGGGAGGAGGAAGATCAACCAGAAATTGATGGATTTGCCCTACTTGTTTCTTTTCCTTTTTAGGTTTCAAAGTCTACAAGAGAGAACCCTATGAGGTATATTTGAGGTAATATAAAAAGATGGAATAAAATGAAAAAGGAAAGGACGACATGAACCCAATCTACAACCCCTTTCTTTTTTTGGCAATTAATCGACACCTCCCCATAAAGAAAAAAAACAAGAGAATAAAAGCCTAAGGCTGAGCTTACGCATGTGAAGCCACTTACTATTCCTTCACCCAATGGTAAAAAACTAAAAATTAAAAAGCTTTCTTGGAGGCACACAAACTCTGTGCTATCAAGTCTTATGGTGACACGTGTGTAAAGTGACTGACAACCCTCTGCGGCCGGTGACCCTTTCAGCGGGCAGCGAGGCTCTTGAAAGCGAAAACAGCCAACATTCCTGTCGGTTGCCAGTTAAATTCAGACAGTCCATTTATAACCCCAAAGTTGCAGGTAAATTTGGGGCATCGGTTGGGCACAGTCACAAAAGTTCTCTAAATAATTACTTGTCCGTACAATGGTTGAGATCTCCTAGCCAAAAAAAAAATGACAGGCAATATTCCGTACGATTGATTGAAGAGATGGGCAAATGGGGTGATGCCACATGTCGCTATATCACGGTTTGTCACGTGGCTCTGCTTGTGAGTAGGTGTAATGTCAGGATTATTTTGCCCTTTTTTGATTTTTCATATGGTTTTGTTTTGAAATGTTTTCAGCTGCGAAGAGGGAGGACCACAATGGAACTACGTGTGATGGGCAACTGCGCTCTTCTGTTTTTTTTTTGTCGTAAACTGCACTCTTCTTCTCTCTTTGCTTTTTCTCTTTTAAAAACATTTAAGGAAAGAAGTAGATTGGCAAAATTGTACACGACCTGTTCAAACGGAACAAATTCATATGAAAAATTGCCGTTTTGGATCGTGGCGAGTTGGTGTTGATTGATGATGACGGATTTATTTTAAGTTTTCTTTAGTTATATTTAATAGTTTGATATTTTCATTGAATTTTTAGTATAATTTTGATTATGGATGAAGCGGGTATTAACGGGTAAAACAATCGAAACGATTTCTGTCAAACCAATATTTGTGGTCTTCCATTTGGATGAATTAGGTATTCCCAACTCCCAAGTTTCAAATCTACGAAAGTTTAATATTTTGCTCTACAAAATTTTGCAAAAAGTCCACCAATTAGCTCTACTGAATTTTGTAAAAGTCTATACTACTGTCCATCAACGTTCGAAAAGTCAATAAAAGTCTAGTATACTTTGTAAAAATTCATCGAAATCTAAATCCCCCAAACCGGAAATTGTAAGTATAACTGTATAAGAGAGGGAAAAGGGGTGGATTGGGTTGGGCCCATTGGGATGGAGTCGGTGGAATGGTGGGGTCCTATAAATTGCAGGTGGCTTCAAACTAGAGGCCTAACTAGTAGGACCTGGTAGGTCTACTTTTCTACCAAAACCTAGAAGGCTAGACCTAGAAGCCTGGGTTCAGCCCGGTACATGTATTCGCCCAATGGTCCTACAATTGTTCCAAACAGCCTTAGGGTTGACGGCATGCGATTGGGCCATGGCTTTCGTATGCAAATTCTGGATATACCATATATGAGAAAAACCCATATATGAGAGAAACCCAAGATAGGCAAGCCTTTGTTACATGCATCTTGGCTAGAGGTGTCAAACGGACTGGCTCGACTCGGCACGGACCGTTTAAATAAGGCTCAATATTATATAATTTGTATCTTTGGGTCGTGTCGGGTCAAGATACATTAGGTCTAATGGGCCGGGCTGGCCAATCCTGTGACCCATTAAGAGCTGTGTCGATCTGAAACTCAATGAACCGGCCTGTTTAAAGTCTATTTATTAAATTATATTTGTTTTAGAAAAAAATAATACATAATATTATTACATTTATATTTTAAATTCAAGTCTATTTCTTTTCTTTAATAGTATGTATTAAAATTTATTGTTTTCTTTATATATAAAATAATGCTTTAAAATTCAAACAATAATCTATTCATTTTCTATTTAAATGTACTTTAAAGAATTTTTTTTTTATATTATCAAAATTTAAACAAAGTTATTGGAACAAATAATAAATATTGTCATTATATACATAAGTATAAAAAATATTTAAATGAGGTTGTAAAAAAATTATTTAAAAAAAAAAGCAATACATAAGTCAAATTTGGTGTGGACCCCTCTCGACCCATTTAGTGGCCCAGCACACAGCCGGAGCCTATGGGCTTGGGCCGAGATTGATGATTTTATAAATAGACAAGCACGACATGACCTGTTTATTAAATGGGCCGACTCTAAACGAGTCGGGCTAGCCCAACACAACCCGTTTGACACCTCTAATCTTGTCTGGGGCATCCTATACAAATAGCAAATGATCATCTGTTTGATAGGAGATGTGGATTAATTAAAGGGTATATAATTAAGTGATAGTTTACTTTAAATTGCATCAAGACCTTTTGCGATATTTTAAACCCCACATCGTGAAGTCTATAGGTACCTACCGAACAGGGGCAGAACTAGCCCAAGGTCTATAGCTTAGGGAAGGTTTTGGGGAAAAAAATAATTAAACATATATAGCCTAATATTTTAAACTAAAAATAAATAAAATATATATACAATTGCATATCCCACCACACAGTGGTGGACCTATTAAGCACCTCCCTTACCGGAAAAACCATTGTAGGTGCTTCAAATTTCCCCTTTGCTCAGCTAGTGGTGATGCACTCTAGGTGTATAAATTATCTTATTTCCATTTTCAGCATTTAAGTAAATGTCTTTGTCCTTTTACTTTCATTTATTTTTATATTACTCCATTTACTTAAGTTTGTAATGTAACCTCCATTTGGATTCAAATAAAAATACTAGAAAATCAAATTCCCACCCCAAAAAAGAAAAAAAATCGGTTTTAGTGCAAAATACGATTTCGGCTAAAAATGATGGCTCATTAAGTCAATATATACTTCATACCAAAATCTCATAAAATCAAGTTTTCTTATTTGATGTGTAAGGAATAAAAGCCATTTTTCATACTTAGTCAGTATTTTTACATAAAACAATTTTTCATGTATGATATGAATGCATGAAGGGACCATAGGTAAAAAGTCTTAGATGTTCAAGCCACAAAGAGTTTTTAGTCTTTCAAAATTGCACATATGCTACAAAGTTCATGGGTCCGCCAATTCTACCACACCAATAGTCATAGTCAAAGGTCTTCCACATTTGTATTTGGAGTTAAAGTTTGTCCCAAATACCAATTTTAATCCTTTTCCATTAACGTATCTCAAAAAGAAAAGCATTTTTCTAAATAAAATTCACCCCTTTTGTGAATAATATGGCTCTAATTCCATTTTTTTTATTGTGTTTACAACTAGCGTGATTTATATGATTTAATGTATACTTTTATTTCTAGAAAAACGATAGAAACTGTTAGTACCAAAAAAAAAAAATTTATTAGATTTTGAACTAATAACTTTAACTAACCTACTCATTCGACCCTTGCAATTGGTTGAATAATCAACAAGTTATGAAGGATGCGGGCAACAACACTCTTATGCGCATGTGGTTTATTGTATGTGATCGAGGTTGTGAGAGATCTCTACGGTTCATGAAATAATTCACTACATCCGACAAGCATAATCTTTCATTAAATAATTCTATAATACATCAACTAACACAGTCTACGTGTAGCCACACCTTACACACGTGATCAATAAACTTCTTGATTGATATTTGTCTATTAATATGTCTCTACAACTAAGATATCCCAAATCAAAATCCTCAATCCCTAATTAAAAAGTGAAAATAATCCCATAAATTTAAAATGATAAAAGAATAAGTAAAACATTATATATTCTCTCCGTGCCAACTTTTCAGCCTACTTGCATTTTTATATTTGATTTGCCAACACATACATGACTCACCTGCCAAAAGATAGAATTGCATTTGCTAGCACATACATGATACAACAAGCTTGTTGCCAGCAATGCAAAGTTACAATTTTACAAAAGCCTGTCACAACACAACTCACAATTTCAGAAACTTTGTTTTTGTTTTTGTTTTTTTTTTTGTTTTTGGATCGGGTGAGAAAGTTACTTTACTTGTTTGACAAAAATAAAAAGTTAGTTGAATTTGCTCGCATGTATACTTACTAGGAAGTAGGAAAGTAATGAATCGGAGAATTAATGAATTGGAATTGGATCAACTACTTTCCTAGTTTATTCAATTCTTGAATTTATGAAGAATCGAATTGAAAGAATTTCAGCACATAGAGTAGGTTACCTTATTAACTATTGCAAAGATAGAAACTTTCCCAATATGGCTCTATACGTTAGTTTGGATTCAAATAGTTGTTGTTAGGTTTGTATTTTATTGGCTTTGGTTTGAAATTTTGAATGACCATATCCTACTACTATACTACGTAAACAAAACAATGATTTGGTGCCAACAGTGCGTCAGTACGGAAACTTGAATCATGATTACCACCAAAGCCAGTTTCACATACAAATTTATAAAGAACTCAAGTAAACAATTCAAATCATAATAATATCTGATATTTATTGGTCTACAAATCATTATCTTGACTATAGTATAAGGAAATAATGAGAGTAAAGAATTAAAGAAAAAACCCTTTAGATTCTAATTCAACTTTTTGTTATTTGGATCTATATCAGATTGGGACCACAGATCCATATCAACTTTTGATTCTTCAATATCTCAAACTTGTGGTCTTTGTTTGCAAACCCTATGGTCCCCTCCCCTTAAAATAGAATCCCCCCTCCCCTTAGAATAGACTATCGATCGAATAAAATAAAAAAATATCTCAAAGTTGATGATAACATCCACAGCTTCATCAAATGATTATTTGGAGTGAAAAATCCCAACTAACCAAATTGATGACTTTTAGATCCTTGTAAATTGATTTGTTTGTGTTGCAGAGATAAGAAAAAATAAACATCGGAACACAAGTCTCGCTTGATTATTGACTAACAACCATTTTGAATGATTACAACGAGTGATTATAGAATAATACGGTCATATGTTACATTTATTACCACAAAGACTACTAAACAAGAATGAAAAATCATCATTACCTAAGGAAGCTATTTTCTAGTTGTGCCATCTTTTTATAATACCAGTTCTCATGGCTTCCTCACTGGTGAACCCGTAAGGCACTCTTGCCACAACATCTTGAATCATCAACTCTTTCACACTTGATATGCTTGCATGATAAACTTGTAAGCCTAGTCCTTTGAGGGCGTTCATCAATCGAGCATACGGGTAGTCTTGATCCGGACACTGAACTCGTATTATGGCTTCTGAGCCCATGATCTTCACATCCACTTCCACTGGCACAGCTGTTCTATTATTATAACTTGAATGATGATGATGATTATGATGATCAACTATGGAGCTGGTGCTCTGGCTGCACTGATTGTCAAGATTATTAACGCTAACCCTTTCAGTATTTTGAGGTTGTGCTTGTGTTTTGAGCTCCAATTCCTCAACTTTTGCTTTCAGCTGATTGATGTATGCCACAGCATCAGCAAGTAAAGAGGATCTGTCCATTTTGGAGACATTGGGAACAACAGACCGGAGGAGATAAAATCGATGGTTAAGCTTCTCTCTCCGCTGTCTCTCTGCCTCAACATGGTTTAACAATGATGATTCTCTACTAGCCCCATTGTTCGATGATCTGCGTCTCTTTTTCGATCGAGTGTTTTCTGTATTCTCACATGTGAAGTTTCCAACAGAGCCAGAGAGTGATTCTGGTGATGATCCACCTATAGTGATAGGTGCAGCTTCCTTTGTACCAGCTGCTGGTAAAAATATGGACAAAAGTATCAATGTCAAGGACAAACTCAATCAAAAAATTCACAAAGAATGTCCGATATAAAGGACTAATTGACAAGTTTCCTGTTTACCTTGTCTGGCCAGTTCCTTCTGAGATCCTGAGAAGATCCCCTTTTCTAGAAGAGGAGCAAGCACATTGCCCTGACGGCTGCCCTGTTGCTGCGAGACCCTGTTGTTGTTGCTGTTATCTGATCTAAAGAGTGATTTTGATAGATGCACAAGGCCCCAATCTTCTTTGATCACATCCAAAGAAGCCAATTCAAGCACCCCATACGGAGTTGCAATGCAAACCAAAGTTTGAATTCCATGCCTTCTAGCTTCTTTCACTCTCTCACACTCATAGAATTGAAGCTCATGAGCACCTGCAAGCCAAACAAAACCACCAGAACAGAATGCTCGGCCCAGAATATTATTGGTGGCATGGCCTGCTGCAAACGACTGGGTTAAAGAAACACTGTAAAAGTAAAACCACTCAGAGCCAGTGACATCTCCATGATCCACCAGCCTCATCTCCAACTCCACCATGTCTTCATCGAAAAGAGCTTCTTCAGCTTCTCTGCTAGTCACCTTCTTGTTGAACCCAAATTTGGGTTGGTGATTGTTGTTGCTTCTCTTGGATGCCAAGTCACTATTAACTCGGAAATCGCCAGCAGCCCATGACAAAGAAACTTGGTCATTACTGTCTTTGGAGGGTTGCCAGAAAATCGAATACACCCACCATTCAGGCCTGTTGTGAAATACGAATTCGAGGCGTTGTTGAAATGTGCCTAGGTTTTCTTGGCAAAAATTGGGTGAAGAACAAGAGGATATTATTGCTTCCATGGCTTACTTCTCTTGCTACAAAATGAATTGTTATGTAAAAAGTTTAGCAGCAAGTGAGACAGAGGATGAGAAGCAGCGGAAGAAGAAACAAAGTGGTGAGTGCACTGTGATCGGAAATATAGGTGGGTATATAGAGGGACACCTATGCATGCACTGTATTTTTTTTGTTTTTTGTGTTTTTTTTTGGCCCTCTTGGTCAGAAGTTAATAATGGGACACTAACTTGCGCCTGGATCTATCAGTTTTGTTTAGAATTGTTTTTGCAATCATATACAGTGCTGCCACAAGATAATAAACATTGTATACTGTAGACACTATGAACGTGGCTCAATTTTTGGGAAAAATACTTTGTTATTATTTGTAGAATAATACTAATCTTACTACATTTTATACCACAAATTTATACCACATGATGTGGCAGCTGATGTGTACATACCACATCACGTAAAATACTAGTTTTTATTTTTCTAATTTCATTTATTAAAATACACTTCATTCATTTAATTGATATCAAATATAATATGGACATGGTGATGCAACTATTAACTGAATACCACGTGGTACAAGAAAAGTAACAAGGTTGTGCAAGAAAATCCAAGTATAACTAAAATTTGGAAAACCCCAAATCTAGGACGGAATACCAATCACCTGGAACAAAAAAAGTAACAAGTAGATACAAGAAAATCCAACTTTAACTAAAATTTGGAAAAACTCAAATCTAGGACGGAAGGAATTTTTTTTGGTGCAGCCCACTGAGTCAAAAGCAGCCCACATGCAAGGAGTAAAAACTGCGGCTCGCGTCTGCTGTGCTGTAGAGGGGTGTCGCACTAGGTGTCGCGGACTCGTGGCTATTTTTTATTTATTCCAACAGTAATCCAAATCAGCGATTGAGATTAAATTCAAGTTGTCTTAACGTAAAAAACAAATTCATCGGCTGGAATTTAAATTCAATGGTCAAAATAATATTTTAAATTAATCTAAATCATATCCAATCTCAAACTCACTCCAAACTCTATAAATACCCAACCATTTCTCAAATAAAATTATATATGTGGAATTTCCATTTTTTTAGGTCAAAATGTTCAACAAATTAAATTATGAAGTTATTTAAAAAGATTAAATGAAGTCGAGTTATCCATGAAAAAAAGATAGACTTAAACTATTTTTAAACAATTTAAAAAAATTGTGGACTTAAAATTTGAGTCTTAAGGATTGGGGAAAAAAATAGTTATATATGTGTGGGCTCTTCCTGGTATTTCCCTTTTTCCTAATTGAGACCTAAAGGCATTTTAGCTTGTTTTGATTAACCTAATTAACCATGTTAGTTAATTAATAAACTAGCTTAAGTTAGCCATCCCTCAGCTTGTTTTGATTAACCACGGACCAAACAATAGCAGACCTACAGCATCAAACAATAGCAGACCTTTCGAAAATTTCCAAACCAGAGAAAGGAATATATTGTTACGTCTTTTTAAGGTTACGCCATTAACGTAGCTAGGGTAGGTTGTTACTATATTGCTAGCTGTACGGGTTTTTTTAAATTTTTAATGTGTGCATGATTAAAAGATGAATTTTGCATCGATAATATATAGATACATGTTGTTATTTGATTTGTTATTATCAATATAATATGGACAATTTGTCATTTCAGATGTTAACATGGCACTTTTTTTTTCCTTTTCAAAAACAGATATATTTTATTCACGGTCCTCCACGCAAGGGGCAATAATGCATTAATCAATTTGCATAAACTAAGCATCAACATTCAAAATTTTGAAAATAAGACCACATTTCTATTCAAAATATATTACTACATTAAGATAGTGCGTATTAGGTAGTTGTTGGACATTAGAATCTAAAATATTTAACATTAATAATACTTTTTTATTTTTTTTTAATAAAAAAATGATATAATTTTATTAGATCAATAGGAATAAAGAATACAAAAGACACATACGGTAAAAGGAGAATATGACATACATGGGTAAAACTTACCGAGTGACTTAAGCCAACCCAAAAGCTAAAACAATTTGAACAGAATCACTCTTGAAAATAACTTTTCTATAACCTCTTTCAACAGCCATAATTTCTCCCAATCTTTTTCAATGACATCAATGACGAAAACTAGCCACTAATCGGCATCAAGGGTGGAGCCATGTAGGGATCTGTGTGGTCCTAGGCCCCCTGCAATCTGTTTACCCCTTGCATTTATATATTATATACGATATAAATATTATATTATAGTATATTATTTTTGGGATATTTACTCTAAAATAAATAATATATTAGGTTCTTTTTGTCTACAAATTGACCATTAAACTTCTTAATCACTCTTCTACTTTCAATTAAATCTACTATGTTAGGTTATGATATTTGCACTAAAAACTCCTCTCTTTTTTCCCTTCTCTTTCTCTTCCTCTTTTGTTTAACTTCAACTTAAGCTTTGTGATTTTTTCCCTCCCTTTTTACATGTATGAGTAAGGTACTTTAATATTGGGATTATGAACTCTTTTTTTTGTATTTCTTCTCTATGTTGGAATATAAATTATTAACTTTTGAGTTTTTAATAGTGTAGATGATGATATTAATATTCAACCGTTTTATAATATGAAATTAAGGACAATTATGATTGTAATGAATGGATAAATTATTAAACAATGTGAAATGATATTATGAAGCGGGCTAAACTAAGTAGTTAGTATCGTATTAACTTATTAACAAACTAGCGTTTGAGTGCTCCTATTCGAATTATTTTATAAAATTATCGGCATGACTCTCCTAGAAAGACTAAGAAAATAATATTACCATTTCTGAAATAACTGTGTGTGTGTGAGTTTCTCCCATCTCCTTGCTAGAATTTCATTGACTTTTAATATAAAATTACTTCCTCAATAAAATACAATCAAAGGATTGAAATATGCTTAAAAAAAAGGAAAAAAAACAGAATTTAATAGAAACTTAAGCTCAAGGTCTTGGAAAATCAAAACCCACATATCCTATCCACAAACCTTATTTTCATTCATATGGGTCCTGACTACAATTGTTTAATGGGTCTTTCTCCTCTCCCTCTCAAACTATATGAAATCATTTTCAGTCCCATGATTATATTGAGTTAAGCTTCTGGTATCATATATGTGTTTTTTTTTTCTTTCTCTATAACAGAGCAATTGGCGGGAGTCTTTTTTTTTTGGTTTTGAGTTTCTCTACTTTTCTCTCCATCCTGAATAATTTATCTTCTGACTCCAAGCTCTGTTTGAAAGTTTTATCATTCTTGGAAAACAATACCAATTCTGAAAACAAAAGCCCATTAAAAGAGGGAGAAAAAAGGAGAGATTTTTATTTTTAGTTAGGAAGCAGAACGAAAAGCCATTAGGTTTCATCGTGGCCATAGTCCCATAGAAATAAAATGGGATCTTTGAGGGCATTTTGACTTCGGAAGAAGGAGAGAGTTATAATGTTCCTTTTATTTTTTTAAAAATTTGGCATAAGTTCAATTATGAGTGGAGATATTGAGTGCAATCCACGCATAAATTGTTGTTGATTCAAGTCCTTTGACTTTTGCGTCACATAAGATTACATGCCTTTTTCAATTTATTGATATTTACTTTTATTTATTATTTATTTTTTGTTCCAATTATGCACCTAAAACATAAATAAGGTAAATTATGAATTCGTAATTGATTTGTAAGACATTAATTATCATATTTGATTTGATTTGATTGGATCAGATTAATATGTTATCGGATTGGATTGGAAAAATTATAATCCAATCTATATTGAATCGGATGCAAATTGGTCAAATTATATTGGTTTTGAACCGATGTGCACCCCTAGATCTTAATGGACAAAATCAAAGAAAATGATCTAGATCTAGTGGATTCACGTTTATAGTCCCTACAAGTATAGACATGGAGGTTGCATATGTGTATTAGACTTGTCTTCCAACGTAGTGAGTCTGTCCACTTACATCCAAGTTTGAATCATCTTCCTTGTAAATTAGATTTTTTTTTTTAAAAAAAAGTAGATTATTGTATTAAAAAAAAACATGTAGATCAATTGGTGAGAAATTGTTAGTAGTGGATGCATGAGAGTATTATTTATCACATGACCAAAACGCCAACTTTTGTTTGTTGATATAATGGATTACCCTAAAATGAAATCTTAAGTATACAACATGACTTTTTTTTGGGGTCAGAAAACCACAAGACTTCAAATCCCGAAATTGAAACCACATGAAATTGAAAACGTTCAAATACAAAAAAAATAAAACGAAGGGATAAAAAGAAACAAAACAGTGTTTCTTAAATATATAATTGTATTTCCTTTTTTCTTATATGAAAAATATATAATTGTACTGCTTTCATATTTTCATAAAAGATATGGACAATGGGTGACTAAGTGACACAACTATTTTAATGAAATAAACATAATAATGTATAAAATATATTTTTGATAATTATTTTCTCTTTTATTTTTGTCATTCATGGGTCCAATATCGCCTACAATCTAATTATGATATGTTTTTACCTAAGAAATCTAGTCATCGTATGTGTTTTATTTGCTAACAAATCCGATCATGAAATGTTTTTATAAAAAAAGTTTTACTTATTGGAAAACGACATATGCCACGTTGTGTCGTATACTGTCAAAAAAATAATACCCTCTCTGTTCCTATGAGTATGACCGTCCCACCTAACATAATTTATAGTTGAACCTATCTCTCAACTGTTATTATTTGTCCCCATGCCCATGCTGAGATTTGAGCTTGGATTTGGATTTGGTGGGGGCACTGTGTAGGAAACTAATTAAGATGCGTCGACCGGCGGTTTTTTTCAGAGTAAATTGCATTTTACACCCTCGAAACGTAGGTTATTATATTTCAATTTGGTACCCGACTATCAAAACCTTACAATGTGCACCCCGTCTTTGCCTCTTTGCACTTTAGCCCCCCATTAGAAATTCCGGCAAAGGTGATCGACGTCATAAATGGAGCCCATACTCTTGCCGGGTGAGGAGAGAAGCAAGATCTATCATGATGTAAGGAAGGGAAGGGGAAGGGGCGAGAGAGAGCTAGGAGTTGCAGGTGGAGACATTTGTTATGTTGAACTGTAGGCAACGGAGGAGGACTAAAATCGCAATATGTAAAGGTGATGGTGCACATTGTAACATTTTAATAGTCGGACAACA